GCGTTTGCAACCTGGATGCAGAATGACGCACGCGTGCGTTTTTGGCTGCTCGGGTCAGTGGATTCCTCCACTTGCCTTAGCCTTCGGTTATATCCTACAGCTAATCGTATGTGGCGCCATTTGAAAGTGATGTACTCGACTGTTAATGCTGCACGCCAGTTCGAGATCCAGATGGCTTTGACGCGGCTGGAACAAGGCGATCGATCCGTATTCGAATATTTCAATAATGCACAGGAACTCTAGACGGAGCAAGATCTCCTCCATGCTGCACTGCGTCCAGAAGCTGTTCAGTCTGAAGACGCTATTGCCGAGCGAATGCAAACTCGGCTTCTGGATTTTTTGATGAAGTTACGGCCAGAATTTGAAGCCGTTCGCGCGACCCTCCTGAACCGTGACATCCTGCAATTTGACGGTGTACTGGGGACACTTGTACGCGAGGAAACTCGCTTAAGGACTCAGGTGGTGATTGATCTTCGCCCGGGTGAAGGAGAAGCACTGGTAGCTTCTGCCGCAGGCCAAGGAGCTCACGGATCTAGTCACGGTACTGCTGCATATGCTGTTGAACGGCCCCAATTTCAAAGGAGGATTCCAATTTCCGATCTGATTTGTCACCACTGCCGAGAGAAGGGCCATTTGCAGAAGCATTGTCGCCGACGCAATTTTTGCGTGTACTGTAAGCGGATGGGACACGTGATTCTTGATTGTCGTACAAAGGAACGTAATGAGGCTCGTGAGGGTGGGCCTCGCGAAGGGGGGTCTCATCTTGGCCGAGCTGGGTCGGCGCCGCGTTCTGGGTATAATGAACGGGCTGCATATGGAGCTTATCCCGCTGTGGATGCTCCTCGTTGGAGAGCTGCTGGTGATGATACACGCAGGCACACTGGGGGACTAGGAGGTCCTTCGGGAGATGTGAGCAGCCGCAATGCAACTGGGGAGAGCAGCAACGCTGCTGGAAATAATGGTGGTGTAACCATCCAGGCTGTTGAGCAGATTGTAAGTGCAGCCATAAGTGCTGCCTTTGCTACAATGCACGGTACAGGTAAGTTTCCCACACCTTGGCTTATCGATTCAGCGTGTTACAATCATATGACCAGTAATTCGGGGGTTCTAAAAGATGTATCGCCTGTTCATAACATCGATTTAACCGTGGCAAATGGATCTAAACTAGCGGTGAAGGGTATGGGTAATGTAGTGAACAACAACATATCATTGCGTGATACTTTACATGTTCCTGCACTTGTTCCTAATCTCGTTTCAGTAGGCCAACTTACTGAACAAGGATGTACTGTGTCGTTTGCTCCGTCTGGTTGTTTTATACAGGATTCGAAGACGGGGAGTCTGATCGGAAGAGGGAGTAAGCAGGGGCGTCTATTTCATCTAGAAGAACTACATGGGCATTCCATCACTCCTGTTCGTTCAAGTTCTATGGTTAGGTCTGTCAGTAGTCCTATGTCTTGTTTAGCAGTATCGAGTCAGTCAAATAAGCAGTGGGACTTGTGGCATGCTCGATTAGGGCATCCCCACTCAGCTCGTCTTCATGTCATGTTTCAAAAGTCATTACTCGGTCCAACTCGTGTCAGTGTTCCCGAAAATCATTTCTGTACTAGTTGTGTTGAAGCCAAGACTGCCAGTATTTCTTATCCTCCTAGCACTACTGTTATTCGTGCACCCTTTGATGTCATACACACAGATCTTTGGGGACCTGCCCCTGTTGTGTCTCGTCATGGTTTTCGTTATTTTGCCTTGTTTGTTGATCATGCAACTCGGTATACCTGGATTTACCTTCTTCGATTAAAATCTGAACTTCGTTCTGTAGCCCTTGAATTTCTCAATATGATTCAAACTCAATTCGGCAAATCAGTCAAAATTATTCGCTCGGATCCTGGTGGGGAATTTAGCTCCTTTCCCTTGCGTGAAATATATCGATCTCGTGGTATATTGAGTCAAAAATCTTGTCCTGGGGTTTCTCAACAAAATGGCCTTGTCGAACGTAAAAACCGTCATGTTGTCGAGCTTACCAGAGCCTTATTGTTAGCTTCCTCAGTTCCTGGTCGTTTTTGGCCCGAGGCTGTAGTCACTGCTGTCCGGCTCATCAACTATCAACTTACTCCGATCCTTGGCAATGAGAGTCCGTTTTTTAAGCTCTATTCTCGTCCACCCGACTACTCTCGTCTTCGGGTATTTGGGTGCCTGTGCTTTGTTTTAATGCCACACCGTGAGCGTACTAAGTTAACGTCAAAAACTGCTCGATGTGCTTTCATGGGGTACAGTGATGTTCATAAAGGTTACCTGTGTTATGATCCTATTTCTCAGCGTGTTCGAGTGGCTAGCACTGTCGTGTTCTTTGAGCATAGTCGGTTCTTTGAACCTTCATCCCAATCCGAGTATGTTTTTCCTTCAAATAATTCATTGCCCATGTTTAGTTTTGATGATGAGGCCCCTGCCGAAGTGGACAATATGTTGCCCCCTGATGATCTCGACTCTCCCAGCCCAACTTTGGATTCTAGCTCAAGCAATTCCTCACCTGCCAGCAGCCCAAGCTCAACTATTATTCCCTCTCCTCCTGCTCCGCTGGACACACCTGCTCCGCTGGACACACCTGCTGCTTCCTTACCGCGCCGATCTACACGTATAAATAAGGGTATACCTCCAGCTCATTATGATGATTATATAGCTTTTGGTGTGACTTCTCTTATCGTCCCTACAAGATACAAAGATGCCCAGGGAGATCCAGTTTGGGAGGAGGCAATGGGGAGTGAATTTGACGCTCATCATGCAAATAACACTTGGACTGTAGTTGATCGCCCCCCTAATACTCCGACGATTGGAAGCCGATGGGTTTATGCAATTAAAATGTTCCCTGATGGATCGATCGAGCGTCACAAGGCTCGTGTTGTTGCGTTAGGATATACACAGGAGCACGGGGTGGACTATCATCAGACCTTTGCTCCTGTGGCTCGGATGTCAACAGTGCGAACTCTGCTTGCGGTTGCCTCTATGAAGAATTGGCCTCTTGCTCAACTTGACGTGAAGAATGCATTTCTTCACGGCGATCTAGAAGAGGTAATTTACATGGAAAAGCCGCCAGGTTATAATGTCGGGGCTCCGGGACAGGTATGCAGACTGAACCGATCCTTGTATGGTTTAAAACAGGCTCCTCGGGTCTGGTTTGAGACTTTTCAGTCTACTCTTCTTGAGCTTGGATGCAGCCAGAGCCTGAATGATCCGTCATTATTTATTAAGGTTACAAAAACCGGTATCGTTCTGCTTCTTTTGTACGTGGATGACATGATCATTACAGGATCTGACATGGAGGGTATTCGCCACTTGAAAGAGGGGTTGCAGAAGGCCTACAAAATCAAGGATTTGGGTGATCTATCATACTTCCTTGGGTTAGAAGTCTCTCGAACTAAGGAAGGTATTTTGCTAAGCCAAAGGAAATATATTGTTGATTTATAAGTGACCATAATATGGAAGATTGTAAGCCGGTCAATACCCCCATGGAGTACAATTTTAGATTGAGCAGGGATTCAGGTGAGAAAGTTAGGGATGGATCACAGTATCGGAGTATAGTTGGAAGCCTGATCTACTTATCAGCAACTCGGCCTGATATTTCTTATGCAGTTCAGCTGGTCAGTCAATTTATGGGGGATCCTCGAGCTGGTCATTTAGCTGCCGTATATCGTATACTCCGGTACTTGCAGGGTACAAAGGAAGTGGGCATATACTTCCCTTCTACAGGTTCGGCTACCTTGAGAGCATACTCAGACTCAGATTATGCTGGGTGCGTGGACACCAGGCGTTCTACTACAGGATGGTGTGTTCAGTTTGGGAATTCATTTATTTCATGGAGGTGCAAAAAGCAGGATAAAGTTTCAAAATCGTCGACTGAAGCTGAATACAGAGCAATGTCTGATGTTGCTTCTGAACTGACATGGATGAGACGATTACTCACTGATATGGGCGTCAATTGCTCAAGTCCCATGGATTTATTTGTGGATAATACCAGTGCAATCCGCATAGCAGAGAATCCAGTGTTGCATGATCGTACAAAGCACATAGAGATACATGTGCATTACATTCTGGATGAAGTACGGGATGGTTCGATTGCTCTACATTATATACGTACTGAGGATCAGGTTGCAGATCTTCTCACAAAGGCATTCACGAGCAGCCGACACCGCTTTCTGTCTGACAAATTGATGCTCTTGACCCGGCATCAATTTGGGGGAGGATGTTAAATGTATATACTGCTGCTGCTGTTTATTGTGTGATTAGTACGTGTATGGTTATGGGCCAATAGAGACTTAGTTATTAATTGTCATGTTAGGCCCATGCAATCTTGATTTAGCCCACGTAGTGAAGTAAATCATGGGGGCTAGGGTTTGGCAGTCAGAGGGTATTTGTAGTGCAGCTTGTGCTTCTGTACGATCACACAATCATCAGTAAAATCAGTAGTCGAAGAGTGTTCTAGCTCTTCCGTGGATTAGTCCTGGAATTCCAGGGATACCACGTAAATCGTGTTTGTTCTTCGTTCTCATTTCCGAACTGTTAGATAAATTATTACTCTCTTCCTCCTCCTCTTCCCCTTCTTCGAATAATGAACTCTGATCTTGTTGCTCTCTGTTTTCCTATTGAATTAGCTTCGAATTCTAGGGTTTTATTAACTAGGGATTGCTCTGTAATTGGGGTTTGTTCTGATGGGGGAAGTTTCAGTTTTAGCACTTTCTTGTTGGTTATCTTATTTGATCATTTAATGAAATAGAGTACCGATTGGTTGATGAGGGTTGCCGGTGACTCGTGGTCTTTATGTTTTAACGATCGAGTAGGATGGATTGTCAGAACCGTGCTTGCTGGTGCAACTGGTGGTACATCACAGGTGGTGCATTGCTTGACAAGTTTGGCTGCTTTGCTCAGTGAATTTCGAGGTGCAATTTCATCTGCTTTATTTTGTTTGGTTTATCGGATCATTACTGCGAGTGGTTATCTTACTGCCATCCCCCTAGTTCCGCATCCATCTTTTCTCATTTGTCGGTAAGAGCTTGTGTATTTGATTTCTTTGGTTCTCACTTCATTTGAGATGCTTAACTTCATATGTACCCCTCAACTGCTTGATCGAGGGGCATCTGGTGTTGGCAAAACGGGTCTTCTAGTGTGGATGCTGGCTTTAGGGCGCTGGAGCGGCTGGGAGGCTACATGAACCATTTGCTGGCTCTGATCTTCCACCAAGGAGTGCATAAGCAGTTCTTGCAGCTTCAGCAGCTAGAAGACTAGATATCCTCAAACTTCGTATCATAAGTGGTCGGCATCTTCTATCACAAGTCTGAGAAGCTCCTCGATCACTTCCCTCCACTCTCTGCTCATGTACGTATGTAGTAGCTAATAGTCTAGTACAGTTGAATTTTGGGTGTTGGTTTGTGATAGGGATTATTCGGGTTTTGTTTTTAGAAAACGAAGGAATTGATTTGAGTTTGGATATGAGAGTTGGCGGTAGAGAGTGCAAAGGTAAGGAAATGTTTGATTGGAGTTTGCATTTTATTTATTCTTGTTTAGGTGTGTTGCATTGTACAGTTTGGATGAAATGTATGATTACCAGAGCTGAATATGTAGTTGTCTTTGAGGTATTTGGAGGCTAAACGTGTTGATGACTCTTTGTTGTTAGCAGCACCTAGACCAGGGCTATTATCCAGACAGGAGGAAGAAAGGCAAGGACTACAAAGAAGGAATGGTATGATTTCCCTTGTGTTGAAACTCTTAGTCTTTAGTAGATTGTAGAAAGGTAAATTTGAACTTTCATTTGTTTGTTTTTGTGCAGTACAAGCTTCCATTTTACTACCCGGACAGGTAAGCATTTCAATGAGAAATATCGTTTCTTGAGCATAATATTCAATGTGTTTAATGTCATCTTTGGCTCTAGTGACAGTTGGTATCTTGACTGATGTTATAATTCAGATATGTGAAGGAAAAGTGCTGGCTTTAGCTCTATACCAGGGAGCCTTTGTTGACATTGGAGGTATTCATGATGGGCAGGCCTCATATTGTGTGGTTGTTTCCATATGGTGAGTCGATGTCAATTTGTTTGCAATTAATATGCCAACTATTTGGAGAGTTTCCAGCTTGTTCTTGTCTCATATCCCAACTGCCGCTTCTCACCATCACAACCGTCCTGGGTATGTACAGTGCATACTTATATCGTAAGTGGGTATGTATAGCTACTTAGCTACTATTTTTGCATGTGTTTCTACATTTGGCATGCAGGTGCTTGAGAGCTTTGGAGCTGCTTGAGCACTGCTTGTAAGAGGTACTTAGGGTTCTATTTTTTAGATGTTTGGAATATTGGATTTGAATCAATTAGAACTACTTGGGCATAAATCTCTTGGTTGTTCATGGTTTCGTTCAACTGAATCTTGGTGGATGTTAAATCCCAAACTCTCATAGTTCTGTAGTAATAACAAAAGTCAATCTATCGTTTTTCCTCAAAAAAATTTGCAATATGCATGCACAAGAGCTTCTTACAGTCTAGTAGCTTTGGACTTATTTGAGCAGTTTCTGATGAATATAGTAAATGTAGCCTTCTGAAGGAGAAATGCATACAGGCTTCGTTAATGAGAACTTCGTTTGTTGTTGTCAATGTTGCAAGTGGTTTTCATTCTTTTCTGAACTTTGTGGTAGATTGCGATGTCCTTTTCACTCTTGTCTATTGTCTAAGTTATTTTTTTTAATGGTTTTGGTTTGTTTATTTAAACCATTTTCCTTGTATGCTTTGCCTAATGTGTTAGAATGAGAAAACAGGGGAAGTCAGGATGCACACCAACAAAATTGAAAACCGAGAAAAAGCATCGGCAACAGTTGACACGAGGGAACTAGCGGCAAGGTAAATTTTATATCTATGGATGTTTTAATTGAATCATTACATTACTTGAATTTTTACTTTGATTGAATCATGAAGCTGTACATTCTCTGCTCTTCTTTCCGTCCAATAGAATCGAACTCTTTATCTCCATGGCAAGTCATACATTCTCCTATTAGCGCCCGCTCAAGGAGTACATCTTTTTCATTGCTCCTTTACTGATTTGTTGGCTACTGGGACTTATACTACAAATATCTATGCTTTTTTTCATGTTTTCCCTATAATTGAGGACTGATGATATATGATATTTGTTTGGTTGGTCTTGTAACAGGCTAAGGTGAGTTGGAAAAGAAATCAATGCAGTATATGTTGTGGACGATTCAAAAGAAAGCCAAGTTTGATATTATGGATATTGCTGAAACTTAATAAGTTTGAGTGTTTGACATTCTTCTTCCTTTGGTTGTAAGTTGGTTGTTGAATTTATACTTTATCAATTTCCTTTTCATAATTTATTGTATGAGTAATGTGTATTTAGAATGAAGTAGGCAATTTGTGGCATGGATAATTGGTAATGTCAAGTTTTGAGGGCACAGTACAGAAATTCATGAGAAAATTGAAAAGCATATGAAGGTTTTATTTTTAACGTATTTGCGACAGACTTCCTTCCCGTCACTAAACGTCGTCGTTAAATCTAGCCTTATTGGAGCATAATGGCCAGTAGCAGGGGTCTTAACCCGGCGCAAAAAAAGCCTTAATTTTCGCTGGAAAAAAACATAATAACTAAAGACAGAAAGCGGCGGTTTAAATCGCAGCTACAACCGCCGCAATGACATCCACCTGGGGTTGTAACGACCGCTGCCGTACCTTTGCGGCGGTCCTCCTTGCTGCGGTTGTGCAGGGGTTACTAATACCGCTGCCGGGCTTATTAGCAGCAGGTTTTTCCGTCGCCAAAGGTTAATAAAACCCCTGCTATTTGTGGTTTTCTTTGTAGTGCAAGCGCCCGCCTTTCTTCATCCATCTGGTATCCAGGACCTGCAAAGGAGTCAACTCAAGATCACCATCCGCTGAGATCGATGGTGCAGTCATCTCCACCCGATCAGCCGCTCCCCTGTATCTCTTTAGTAGAGACACGTGGAAAGTAGAGTGGATACGCGCATCAGCTGGCAGCTGGAGATGATATTCCACCAGATTAATCTTCTGTAGTACCTTATAGGGCCCAAAGTATCGAGCCGCCAACTTCTGGTATGCCCGGCGGAAGACGAAAGCCTGTCTGTATGGATGTAATCAAAGCAGAACCCAATCGCCAACCTCGAACTCCTCGTGGCGTCCTGCATCGGCCAAATGCTTCATCTTGTTATTGGCTGCCGCCAAATTGACCTTGAGTTGCTCCAAAGCCTCATCCCGAGCTCCTAGCCACCGGACTGGTGCCACTCTGATAGCGTACCATGGAGGGTGGCGGCCTCCCATACAGAGCCTCAAATAGTGTCATCTGGATCGCTCTATGGTAAGTAGAGTTATACCATAGCTCGACCCATGGTAACAGGGCCAACCAACGCCGCGACTGCTGGTGGGCAAAACAGCGCAAGTACTGCTCCAAGTAGCGATTAACCACCTCCGTCTGACCATCGGTCTGCGGATGATATGCTGAACTCATCCGTAAGGTGGTCTGGGCCAACGCGAACACCTCCTGCTCCTGCCAGAAGTGACTCAAGAAAATGGAGTCCCTGTCGCTGACAATGGACCTCGGGAACCCGTGGTGTCGTACTACCCCCATCACAAACTGCTCAGCCACTGACCGGGCGGTATACGGATGCGCTAGAGCCATGAAATGGGTGTATTTCGTCAGTCGATCAACGACGACGAAGAGGACAGTCTTCCCTCTGGAGGGTGGAAGCCCGACAATGAAATCCATACTGATGTCCTCCCACACCCGCTTGAGCACCGGTAACGGCTGCAGAAGACCCGCCGGTCGCAGATGAGACGCCTTGACCCTCTGACAGGTGTCACACGAAGCTACATAGTTCTTCACGTCCTAGCCCATCCGTGGCCAGTAAAACTACGCCGGAATCCGCCGCAATGTCTGCTCGACCCCAGAATGCCCTACGAACAGAGAGTTATGGAACTCCTGCAACACGATCGTCACTAAGGAAGACCCCGGGGAAGCGCAAAGCGCCCTCGAAAAAACACCAGCCCTTGCCGAAAGGAATAATGACCTGGGGCTTCGTTGACTGCTATATCCCGACATCCCTGCAGATACACATCTGTCTCAGTAAGAGCTCGCAGGGAGGTTACAATATATTATCTCTATAGGCATACTAAAATAAAAGGAGGTGTAATCTTGTAGAATAAAATGGTTGTCTCTCTGGCATGCATGCTGTTTGTTTGCATGGCTACGTACTCTTTAACGAGTCATATAATAAAATTGTATCCTCTCAGAAAAATCTATATGTCTCATCTTTCCATGATAGTAGACATGTTTTGATACTGTAGTCTGTACGTAGGCATATATAGCTCAGCTTTTGTGCCCTTTTGTGCACAATCTACTATGATGATCGGTTTGGAACCTGTGTTGTTTGATGGTCGAAGCCATGCATCTTGTATCAGCAATTCAGCATCCTCTGCTCTAAATTTCAGCCTTTGACAAATTGTGTTTTTTATTTATTGTGACAACTTTTTTTTCTTCTTCTGTTCCTTTTCCGTTGTTATACAACATTTCTCATTCCACAAGGATCATTAGGATGCCATCCTTTGATCCAATTCCAAAATATTCATACACAAAAAATGTTTTTCATGGGGTTGGTGGGAGATTGCATTGAGGACTTTTGTACAATACCTCTATCTGTCAAATTTTGACATAATAACTCGTTTGGAAAGGGAACCAATAACGAGAGATTTCAAAACTCCACCTAGTATGGATTCGAAATAGCTACCCTCAGCTATTAATTTATCCTTCACTCACCTCTTCTTCCTTGTTCCCTTTTTTTCCACCACGATCGAAGACAACATCATCCACCAAGAGTTCAGAAATGGAGGACGAGGATTGTATTTACTCTCTACAACCACTTTCTACTCCAGGAAATCCATAGTTGGGAGGAAACTGCATTTACTCTCCGGAAATGGATGGAGATGCCGTATCCGGATATACTAGCTCAGCTGGCAGCTGCCTATTCCGGTAGCTCCAGTGCCATGGTGAAATACAGAGCTTAGCTAAGCTCAGTGAGAAACCGTTTCTTTTGTTCTTCTATCACTTCCTTTAGCCGACATATGCAATCTTCATTTTGTTTTCAAGTGTAGACAACAATTTTACAGAACTACAAAAGTTTGTGATGTGAGGGAGACATCACTTCAATAACAACCACTAATAAGATGATGGTCTTGCTCTTTTTTTCTCTTTTTTCTCTTTTTTTTTTCCTTAGTACATACAACAATTTTCATTCTACAAACAACGTTAGTATGCTATCCTTTCATCCAGTTACAAAATAGCCCAAAAACCCCCCCTTCTCCATGAGGTGAATGGAAGCCAAGAAGACAAAATAAGCCTACAAGGAAGAAAGTTAAAGCAACTGTGAAGGAGTTATGATCACAAACTAGAAACTTCTTTCAGCCCTGATCCCCGTTTGCCTTATCGATCTGGTTGTTAATGCGGAGTTGCCTCCTGTAGTCGTTGTAGTTTTCCTGGGGGTAGTTGACGTCACTGCGTAGCACAATCAAAGACAGAGGGAGAGGTTAGATAAACCTAAGTGAGTATTAGCCAAGAAAGGTATGGAAAGGGAGACAGAAGCGGCATACTTGATTGAAATTTTGAGGTAGCGGTTCCTGGCTTGCGCAATGACAAACGAGATAATCTCGTCTGCGTCACCTTGAGAGATGGTTTGGGGAGATTATATGTAACAACACGCCTAGAAACCCAACAACAAAACATATTATCTGGTCTAATCTTTGCTACCATTAAAATGTATGCACAACAACACAAGTATAGAGCAACTCGCTCACCTTTCTGTATTATTATTCATAGGTTGTCTCGCGCCTGTAGCTGGAGTACTCCTAGCAGTCGCACCAGTGAATCTCCCAGCTTGAGTTGCATTACCAGATAGTCTGGTGGTGGCTTCTACTGAATTCGTCACCCTGGAAGGGCTTGTTGCTTCAGTTGAGCCAGCAGGGAAAAGAGTATTTTCCACTGCATTACCAGAAGAACCATCAGAATCAGTTCCCATAGAGAGCCCATTGTCTGATATATCACTTATTCTCTCATCAGAATCTCCGCTTCCTCCAAAATTGAAGAGCTCGACATCATCCTTGGAATTCTGGCTCGCCTTTGCTTCGGTAAACTTGGCTGGTAAATCTTTCTTTGGCCTGGAATGTGGTGCCGAAATCCCCCTACGTCCACGTTTTAACTCATCAATTGACGGCGGCAGTGACCGAGCATCATAAGGCTTTTCACCATACTCGGAGTATATGTCGATTTCCCTATCAGACAGTGGCGAGGTTTTCCTTCCCGGTGACTTGGGACTAAGCCGCAGATTCCCTACAACTGAGTATCTTCTTGGAGAGGAAACAAAACGGACAGACTTTGTGTCATTGGTGTTAATCTTGAGCTGCTGCAATCTCTCAATCACTTCGTCTTTCTTTGCGATGGTTTCTTTTAACGATGCAACCTACAACATTGATTTCAAGAGAAAAGGGTAAACACTCTTTGTACTTACGTTGTTGCACATGGTTTCATCAAAAGTTGGGAGGTAAGAAACCTGATCCACAAGTTCTCTAATGTCTCTTCCCTCCTTATTGCTCTTTGCAGCACCTAACTCCACTCCAGAAACTCTCTCGGCAAACTTCAACGTGCTCAAAGTCTCGGAATATGAATCAGGATCGGGATTCAACTGCACAAACATAAGGGTCTTAGCTTGACCACCTACAAAAATGTGAAAGTAGCAAAACAAAAAAGTCAATAACATGATATGCTAAAACAAATTTTGATTTGAAGGGTGAGAACAATTCAATGAGAGTTGAGAAAAACAAAATATTGCCTAGAGAACTCTGAAGAACTTGAGTAAGTTTGCTGTTCCGATATGGGACATGCTGACTTTTCTGTGCAAGGGCAAATATGACATCTCCAAGTGCAGAGAGTGACTTGTTTATGTGTTGTGCCTCCCTTAATCTCTCTCCAGTTACTTCAGACCGATCAACCCTTTCACTGCCGGCAAGATCTACCAAGTGTAGATTCCCTCGTAAGAGAGTGCCAGACTCCAAATCAACGCCACGGACATGGATGGTGATTATGCTGCA